GTATCAAAGATGTCAAACTAATATGATAAGATTGATAACTAAGTTGAGCACGAAGCTCCTATCTAATGGCAGACGTGCCAGTATTATATAGAACCCTCGTTCCCATGGTCGCCATGGTCGAACAGTCGGCCATGTCGCTGGTCACGTGATTCCAACCCAAGGAAATCCCTGGATCGTTTAGCTAGCCCAAACGATCCCTTATTTGCTATAAGTCTATTGATGTGCTTGACCTGTCAGGACGCCGCCTGGTCTTCACTTATCACGTGTGCACGTGATTCGTGACAGAATGATTATCAGCTAGCTCCGAGCGTAGTTGCTCCTTCGGGACTAGCGCGCTCTACTAGCGTACTTTGGCATCTATAAGTACGTAGGCACTTAGCTAGCTATACTTGCTTTAGTATATAACCAGAGACTTAGTTATTACCCTTAGTAATCTAGGTCTTTTACATTACCTACTTGACTAAATAAGTCAAACTAACACTGATTAAGCAAGTATAGCTAGTGAGATACCTATATACTTATAGATGCTAAAGTACGCTAGTAGACCGTACTAGTCCCGAAGGAGTAACTACGCTCGGAGCTAGCTAATAATTATTTACTATTATAAAGCGATACTAGTACAACTTAGAAAGAAGAGCTAGAACGTAATATAATAGTAACTAAAGCCTCTGCCTATATAAATCCGTCTCTCCGAATCTCTCTTATCTGTCTTGTCTAATTATATCTATCTATTTCTCGCTTATTGTTCCTGGTTTAAAAGTAGAGTAACTAATTCTACTTTTGTACTTGTCAGAAGACAGAGTAGTTAATTCCGTCTTTCGTAGAAGTGAATCGTGTATCGTATCGTATGTCGTATGCCATATAAGCCCTTCGAGAATCACAAAAGAGCCGCAAAAGAGCCTCATACTCGCATTTGCGCCTCCTGGACTGGCGGTACACGCAATTCTAGACTGCCAGTACAGGCAGTACAGCACTTTCTACGCTGTCGGTACCACCCCGATTCACCTTGCAAAAGAGCCCTGGATACCCCGCATTTGCTCTTCAATACTTTCAAGACTGCCGGTATACGTACTTTCCAGACTTCTAGACTGCCGGTACGAGTAGTACAAACACTATAAACACACCTCGGTTCACCTTGTAAAAGAGCCTCGAATGCCCTATATTTATAGTATTTAACTAACTAATTAGGAAACTTACTAGTATATAGTATATAATATATAGAATAACATATAATTTACTTCTACGAAAGACGGAATTAACTACTCTATTTTCTAATAAGTATAAAAGTAGAATTAGTTACTCTACTTTTAAACTAGGAATAATAAGTAAGAAATAGATAAATATAATTAGATAGTATAGATAAGAGAGATTTAGTAAGATAGATTTATATATGTGAAGGTGTGAGGGTTGGAACCCATGATGGAGGCTCGGGCCATGCCCTCGCTAAGCACTGACCAAAGTCCCCGCTCAGCATTGGCCATTGCTCCACTGCTAAATTGGTTTCTCCTTTTCTACACTTTTCTACTCTATTCTTTTGACGTCACGTATTTGTCAAACAGTTTCTTGGAAGACTCCAGAAACTCTTCCTCTCTCTATATATAGAGGAAGAGATTGCATGTATGTAGTCTTCACGCACTTCTTAATTGAACATTCTAAACCTCACCTTTGAGTTGTTCAAGGTCCGGCCTCTCACAGAAGGCTTTAGTTACTATTATATTACGTTCTAGCTCTTCTTTCTAAGTTATACTAGTATTATTTTATAATAGTAAATAATTATTAGCTAACTCTAAGCGTAGTTACTCCTTCGAGACTAGCGCGCTCTACTAGCGTACTTTAGTATCTATAAGTACGTAGGCACTGAGCCAGCTACACTTGCTTTAGTATATATCTAGAGACTTAGCTATTACCCTTAGTAATATAGGTCTTTTATCTTACCCTTTTATTAATATAAAGTTAAACTAATATAACTATTTTTCTAGTTATTTAATATATCTTAAAATATTAATATATACTCTACTACTTGTAATCCTTTAGCTTACTAAAATACCTAATAATTATACTACTTCTCTAAACATTTAATATAACTAAATCTATAAATAAATACCTTAACTAAATGACTTTTATAATAAATCTACTTATCTCTATAAAAATAAGAAAAAAACTTATTTTCCCTATATAACTAAAAGAACTATGTCCTCTAAATTAAACTCTAAATCTAAAACTACCTTAAAAAAACCTAATACTCGCGTAAATATAAAAAAAGAACCTACTTTGTCTACCTAACTAATAAACCTAGAATCTATAAGCTAAAGCTAAGATAAATATTTTCCTTAATACTTTTATATATTAGCGTAAGTATTATAAAGATATTATATAATTCTGTGAGATTAGATAACTAGGAATCTAATAAATAAGTAGAGAGTAGGGTTTTAAATATTATAGTGTTAGATAATCTAAGTTCTACTTGTTTTCTATAAAGGGACTATATTATTTCAGTTTATTAGGACAATTAGAAGAAGGAAGAGTAGTAGAGAGGAAGATAGAAGGGAATGAAAAAGTAGGTAATTGTGAGGGTAATTACGTGGTTTGTACTTTGTGAAAGTTGGGGTTTTCATTGATTTTCATGGGATTTTCATGAAATGTTCATAAAAAATTAGCGAGATTTTCATAGAAGCTTTGAAAAGTAAAAGGTACAAGTTACTAAGTTAGGGTTCACGATGATAAACAGACAAGTCCCGCTAAAACAGTGTATTTGTTCATCTATTCATTTCTTCATTTCATTGATTTCCACAAGTAAAAACTTACCTAAGGCGCTTCTGAGCGGAAGAATAATGACAGCGACAATTATCACGATCTAAATTTCATTACACAGGCAAACAGGACAGAAGTGTACTATGACGCGATACGAAGGAACAAATTCAAATTTCAAAAGACTATCTACACATAAATTCATGACCTTCGTGGTAGCGTAAGATCCCGGTCCATGAAAAAAAAAAGAAAACAACGAACCACCCAACCCAACCAGCGAGACACACAAACACAACCACCACCCCATCTAATCGGTCTGGGTACCAGCCTCGCGAGTCGCAGCATTGCTGCTGCGGTGAGAGCGCGCCTCGGCAACCGCCATCTCAGCGAGCGCTTGAACGCGCGAAGAGAGACGAAGCTGCGATTCGATCTCTTGGACGAGACGAATGCGAACTTCGCGGCTCGCTGTGATGGAGTTGCCGAGCATCGTGACAATGTCGGCGATGGTGCGACGCATCTCCTCGTTCATTGGCCGGTCGCGTGCCAATTCGACGATGGTGTTGATCGAGGCCTCGGCGCTCGTCAACATCTCCTCGCTGAGCTCAGCAGAGGAACCAACGCTGCCAATAGCCATTGCTGTTGAGGAAGCAGCGTTGGTTGGGCCCTCTGCGAGCTCAGCGGGACCACTGGGCACTGGCAAGGCAGTGGTGGTTGATGCTTTTCGGCGATGGAAACGGCTGCGGGCGCCACCCAGCAAACCAGTTCCCTTCTTTGCGGCCTTCTCCTTCTTCTCCAGCTTCTTGATTTCATGGCGAGAAGGTCCCTCGCTCTGGGAGCGACGATGAGCACGGTCGACAGAAGATGAGTGCTCAACGGGGTCTTCGCCAGTGATGAACTCAGAGAGGTCCGGAGTCGTGACGTATGGGCGCTGGACAATCTGCTGGGAGAGACGGTTATCCATACCCGAATCGTTGTACGTGGTAAGAAGTTGGGAAACGACACGATCACCACCATTGACGCGTCTTGGGGTCAGCGCCTTTGCTGTCTCGACGGTGCGGGAAGGAAGGGAAGGACGGGAAGCATTGCGACTGCTCATGAGTGAAGTGACCTTGGTCTTGAGTCCCTTGCCAGATTCGCGAGCGGGATTCTCCTCGCGGGAAGCGGCTTCACGAGCGCGACTTGATGCTGTTGGGCGAGCAAGACGGTCTGCGATCATGCTGCCGAAGCTTTGCTTGGTTGGTGGCATAGGGCGAGCAGTGATATGTGTCGTTGTACGGAAGACTGGATGGGGCTGGATGAGGTCAGTAAGAAGATCATGATTAAGGCGGATATCACTAACCTCCCTCTTTCGTGGATGAGCTACTTCCTCCTCTTGCTCCTCCTGCTTGATATGAACCCGACTGCCACTTGCGAAAGTGTTAGATTGGCTAAGTCCCAGCACCTTGCTTGCCTTTTCGTCAACACTGTGAGATTTGTTAGCGATCTGCGATCACTTGAGGATTTAGGGGGTTGCTTACTCCTTTGGAACACCCATGATAACCTCATGAGCATTCTTTGCGTACCGAACAGTTGGACCACAGTTGTACTTGTCAGAGCGTCTTGATTTTTCGGTCTTGTTAAAGTTCAAGGGGCTGACGGCGGCAGGTGGAGACTCAGCAGGAGGGGGGTTCTGCAAACGAGTCTCGAAGAACTGTGCTGTGAGCGGGACAGACAGACGACGATCCAAGTCGCCATCTTCAACTGGTCTGATGTTAGCAAGATGCTTTGAGTTCCCAAAGGTAGGAAAGTACATACCGATTTCGGGACGCATCGTGGCCTGGGAGATATGCACAGGGGATATCTTGGGGATGAGCGAGTATGAAGTCGATCGACCCCGACCAGTTTGAGGAGTTGCGGCGTTGACGTTTCTAGCTTCGCGACCTTGAGGACTGCCTTCACAATTGGCAATGTGAACGCGACGAGGGTAGCGACCGTTGATGCTGAAAGGGGTGATTTCAATGGTGGATGGCTCACTACGATCAGAGATTGGACTCAATCTGGTACCTGGACCTGGTGGGATGATATTAGGCAATGGTGGTGCGAGCAGTCCAGTCGATGAGATCTGGGATCCGTCGTTGGCAGTCACGTAAGAGGATGCGCCGTCAGTGGTCGAGTTAATGGTCGAGGACCTAGCCGACTGTGTTGAAGCCTTGGGGAGCAAGTCCTTGAAGTGGAGATTGTTTTGATATGAAGGCTCAGCGGGAAGGGCTTTTGTGACCTGTCTGTCAAGTTGTCTGATGATCTCTGTTTGGGTCTATTGAAAGTCAGCTTTGACAGGTCAAGGACAGGACAGGGAAGGTCAAGAGATAAGGATTAGGAATAAACGAACCTCCAAGCTTTGCTGCAGCAGCATACGATAGGCAAAGCTATCAGGGTTCGCAGTCTGTGTTGCACGAGAGAGAAGATTGCGATCGCTTGGTATGATTGATGGAATTGTGGATGTGGATGGATGGAGAGACGCAAAGTTGGAAGAAGCAGGCTTTGCAGATGAGAGTTGGGAGTTTTGAGGGGCACCCTGCGACGCGTCGTGAGTTAAATTACCTTAGCGAGCCAGGTTGAAGGTGAAGACTTACAGGAAAGAAGGTGGCAATGGAGCCTACCAATGATTTTTCAACCCCACCATTGGCTGTGTTTGAGGGAAAGTTTGCGTACATAGAAATAGCCTTCACTGTGTCAGCAATGATAAGATGGAAAAGGCAACGAAGGATAGCAGACATACCCGAAATTGACTTCGTCCTCTGTCTTCGATGACTTGCCCAACGGTTGCGTCTTCGCGATGCAAACCAGGCTTTGAAACTTGAGACTCGTAGAGCTGGTGTAGATTTTCTTGACGCGGTCGTAGGTTCAAGCGATCTCTCATCTGTTCTCTGACACTATTTGTGGTTGCGACCTTGTACAATGATTCAGGCTTTGATACCTGACGTTGTACTGCGCGATGTGAGGAATCTGACAGGTCATCATTGTTGTGTGCAGTCGTTGACAATATTGAATCCGATGCTGGTCTTGTGGGTGGTCGGTGGTGGTCCATACCACCACGACCCTGCTCCGTCGGTGGCGGGGAGGCTCCGTCAGTATTTCCTCCATTCTCTTCAAATAGACCTACTGGGAAGGATGGAAACTTTGACATTGTGCTAGTGGTGTCAACCGATCTGGAGTATTGAACGATCCAAGGTGGTGTTGCGAGCGAGTGGTGTTGCGTACAAGAGAGTATTGAGAAGTTGTTGGAGGATGGAAGGAGGAGATTGAAAGAAAGTCGGAGGGGGACAACGCGAGATATCTTTGATGCTCTGGCCGACAATAACTGCAACTATAGTCGTCAAGACAACACGCTAGTGCTACTCATTTCGGCTATTGGACCAATGAATATTTATCCGATACTGCTCCGCCCCGAACCGCTTACCCTAGGTGACTGGAGCTTTTTCTCCTGCCTGCCGCCTAACATCCGTTGCTCTTAAGAGTAGGAGGGCACTTGATGGTAGGATATTTTCAGGGAGCAATGAAGTCCAATTCCCAGCAAAGCATGCGTAAATTTCGCAGCTTTTGATAGATGGTTTTGAAAATCTCGCTTAGCGAGGTTGACTGTGTTTTTTTTTTTTGCAAGACTCTATTGTGACTTGATAATTGAATTTGACGGTACGTATAACTACTGACCAGCACAACTATACTTTTATGCTTAAGACGCTTGACCGTATGAGAAAACCTTAGTCTGAGACAATAAATCTAGAACGTGTCTTTTGGCAAGGGTCTGTTGACATGACCGCTATCAAAATAACCGGGTGGATTACGCCACCAGCCACCAGCATTTGCGAATAGTAATCACAGAGTAAGTGGAAAGTCCAACCGAAATTGGATGTGCCATGTCTCCAACGAAGGTAAAGAAAACATCGCCCCAAATACTGAATGCGGAGAAGGACCAGGCAGCCATGACAATACTATTCACGTCCTTAAAAAGAAGTCTAGACCAAGAGAGGAACATTTTAGCACTCAGATATTGGCAGACTATGGAATTACAAAACTGGCTGATAGGACCACGTAACAGACAAGCATTACACATAAAGAGATGAGGCAAGACAACCAGACTACCACACCCATCTCTCAGCGCACAATAGTCCAAAATTACAGATTCAATACTTTGACAAAAGCAGCAAGACTGACATGACAGGGACAAGTCAAAAAATCAGCAACACCCCCAAAAATAATTAAAGAGTGAATATGCAGTCTAACCAAATTGAGAGTCCACCTCTGACATGGTTTTGCCTCCTCAAAAGAAGAGAAGTGCATCTGTGTCTCGGAATAATAGCGACTTCACAACCCACCAAAAGGTGAAGTAAAGAAGCAAGCTAATTCTAACTGTCCCACCAAAGTAAGCAAACACCAATAATCTCATCCTAACAAAACCAGAGTGCTAACAACTTTCATACCTCAACTCTTTCATTCCAATTTGCCCCAATCCAGCTACATCAAACAAAAACAAGACAGTATATCCTGATAACCAAAAAAAGACAACACACTTCCTGAATCCGCTTTGAAAATTTGGATGCGTAGAACAAGATCACTTCTCTTTCGCCTAAGTCAAAAGAAGTACTTGGGATCTTTGCATCTTCCAAAAGAGATATTGTGAACAGCATCCACCAAATTCCCACTATTCCTTTACTCTTAGCACAAAGCATATCATATCGCCTCATACCTAGAACAAAACCCACGTCCAAACTACAATCTCAACTATATTACCCTTCTAGCTCTCCATACTGCCTCAGAGAAAAGCAGAATAAAGAAAAGGATGCAATTGGATTATCAAAGTAACTGATAGAAACCCCGTAGACCAGCGACAGTAACACAATCAACCCACTATTCTATTGTAACAGTCGTACTTGCATGAGCACAAAACACAATATCAACACTAAATAAAAAAGGGTAGAACAACACCCTAGTTTTTTGTAAAAACACAGGCAGGCATTCAGCTCTCCATCCAAAGGAACACAATATACACTCTACCATCATAGAACAACAATAATAAATAAAAACCAACTTCAACACCAAAACGACAAACCAACTCCAACACAAAAACGCACAACAAAAAGTAAATCCTCAATCCTCAAATCCTCAAATCCCTACTCCTCCCTCCCTCCAAGTAAATTCAATCTGCAAGTACTGAAAACAAAATAAGTCAAAGCATCACATCACTCTTACCTACAGCACCAAGCTGAGCTACTCAGAGTCCACGTGTGGGTGGTTCAGTTGATGAATTACTTACTCCGTACGATCTAGAGACCAGAAACCAGAGAACTAATAACCTCGTAAAGTACAAAAAACATAAAAAAGTATGAAAGCGAAGAAACTGAAGAAAGCGAAGAAAAGGGGAGACCTATCAAAGCATTCCAGTGCAACATTTCAAAACCAGGAATCATATTACCTACTAACTTATCCAAGTCAAATAATACTTCCCCTCATACCCCTCTTCCATCCATCCACCCACCAGTCCAACCCAACCCAGTCCAGCCCAACCATCTTCACCTTCTTCATCCTCCACCCCTCCCCTCCAAAAATCTACACCCCACACCCCACACATCACACATCATACCCCACAACACCACCCGACCCAGAACTCCTAATAAATAAATCCCAACCATTGATCACAAGGTATTTTCCCAAGCGCTGCATATGTTACCACACAATTCCTACCGTCCTACATAACACATAGCAGCCCAGGTATCTCATGACCGTATTTAATTCGCAGATAGTGAGCAGGTATCAAATTCAGGATTGGGATTGGCATAAGTAAGTGTAGATATATCATATATTGATGTGCTATGGTGAAGTGAAGATGCTGAAAACAAGACATGTCGTCCAAACAAAGTTAACAAACATCCCGCCAAGACCCAATCCATCCTCGGTTGGCGTGCGCCACATCCTGCCCCACCATCCCACAACCTTCGCTATACACCACACTCTTACTTACTTACTTACTCACCCCACACTCAGACACTGACACTAGGAAAACACCTACGGTATCTGCCTTATTTTATTTGAAAGATTTTGACGTGTATAGATGTGTATGTGTGTATATGTGTGTGTGTGTGTCTGGTGATAGAGATGTGTAACTGAGGGTTTTTTTGATTTATTTGAGGTTTGGAGGTTGGAAGATTGGAGTTGTGAGATTGTGGATAAGTAGGTAGGACGTAGAAATGTATGGTATATATGGAGATAGATGAGAGTGTAGGTAGGCTTTTTTGGTTTTGTTTGTATCTGGAATCGGGAGGAGAGTGAGTGAGTCTTGTAGAGTTAGTCTAGGTAATTTTACCTTCTTTATAATTCGAAATTTGGTACGGCATAGTACTTACCATACCATGCATGCATCTCTGTGCTATCTAGTAAATTCTAATCATTACAACTACCTATCACCCAAAACCACTATTACTCACTCCATTTATTACATCGAGAATTGAGTGCTCATTCCAATCTCCACCATATTCCTATTTTTCTTGCCTGAAAATTTTATAATTTCTTCACGTCCATAATTAATTTAAAGACTATCTCTCTATCTATCGATCAATCAAGGTATCTTCGCTCAATGTACATATGTACTTATGTACTTATGTAAGAACTCTCAGTCTCATCTGTCTCCCATGGGTATATGTGAATCCTCCCTTCCATCAAATCCCCCCCTCTATCAACCGTTTCTTCTCACTTCTTTCTTTCTTTCTTATTGCTGTAAGCATCGCAATCCAAGCCCCGTAAACCCGCATTTAATCCCCCAAACCTCAAATCCATCCCAATTACTCATTCAATAAATCATCAAACCCCTTCATCCCCATGAACAAAAAAAGAAAAAGTTGCCAAAGAATGCCAGCACGAAATGAAGCACCACCACCATCAGCACCACCATAATATACATCCCCTCAAAAAGGTCCACTCAACAGACCATCCATCCATTCCCAAGCCAAATCCTCTCAGATAGAGCAAATAGCATTAAACTCATACTTCGTCAACGGCTGCGGGAACACCCCATTATCAAGCAACGCAAACGCATCCCACTCATGCGCACTCTCCGTCTTGAAATTCCAGAAAACCCACCCTTGAGTATGCGACTCAAACGTACTAAGCTGGGCCTCCAGATACCCCCTCATATCGCCCTTAAATGTGGCATCCCACTCGAGGATATTGTTCTTCCCCTTGCAGGAACCCACGAACTTGGAGTCGGGGAAGGACCCGTCGTAGCGTGCGCCAATACCGTACCCGTTCAGGGCGGGCGCGCAGTCCGTCATGGCGGCTGTCCATTCGCCGACGATGGTCCATTTGTCGGCTCCGGAGGCGTAGGAGGCGGCGTTGTTGCAGACGTGTTGGCGGTGTTCCCAGGGTTGGAGGGCGACGAGGTCGTTGTTGAAGATTTGGTATTCGTGGTGGTCGACGATGACTGTTTATATATCAGATTCCATTCTTTTTCTCTTTCTCAAAGAGAAACTGTTGGGATAGGAAAGAACTTACCATGCTGAGCATTCTTATCCGACACGGAGAGGAATCCATTCCAAAGTTTCGGTTGGATAAACGCATCATGGAACATGACAGGCGTATCACTAACATTCCTCACCTGCTCAAACCCCTTCCTATAAAAATCCTCCAGATTCTTCATATCCAGCGCCGACCCCAGAGGTTCATTGAGGAGCTGGATGGCAATAACGACATCCTGATACGCAGGCTGAGCATACTTCTTCGAAATCATATCCAGAACCTGCAGCGTCTGCGCGACCGAATCGCCCTGCTGGAACCCTGGGGTCTTGATCCGTTGACCGCTGTTGTCGAAGCCGTTCTGCGATTTGGGCGCGCCGTGGAGGTCAATGACGATTTTCAAGCCCGTTGCGCGCGCCCAGTCGATGGCGGCGTCGACGTAGGGTGCTTGGCCCGTGGTGTAGGTTTCTCCTACGTCCAGGTAGGCCCAGTATCCGACTGGGAGACGGACCATGTTGAAGCCGGCATCGGCAATCTTTTTGAAGTCCTTGAAGGTGCAGAAGGTGTCCCAATGGGGTCTGAGGATCTCGAGGGCTTTGTCTTTACCCAGTTTGCCGGTTAATGTCATCTCGTCGACGATGTTGAGGGATTGATCGAGTTTTTGGAAGATTGATGGAGCTGGGAAGTTTGTTAGTAACTATCAATTTTTGCGAAGGTGAGGGATTCTTACTGATCCATGGTTCGAGTAGAAGCCAACCTCCAATATTCAGACCTCTCACTTTGTCTTTACCCCAATTGAAAGCCACACCCCGTTTTTGAAGAGTTGCGGATGGAGGTGCTGCCGTGACAGCGCCAACCATAAAGGCGGCTATCAGTGTACTGAAGCGCATGTTGTTGTTTGTATGTGTATTTCTGATTACTAGTAGTATTAATCGCCTCTCTCGATGTTGTTTTAACGAATGAATGGATGTCCGTAGTACGTTATGTATGTACAAGTACGATGAGACGAATCTGAAAGATTAGAAAAGAAAGATTCGAGATGGGGGCGGATGGTCGGTTATTATCAAGATGGGAACCCTCGCCAATTCCCAGCAAACGAAACAGGTTGAAGGTGAATTGGGGGGGAGTTTAGATTGGGGGAGTCTTGGTTGGACGGACCTTGGAGAGAAGTGGAGTCGCATCTGTGATATGTGCCAGCAACACACTTCACTTACCGGCCAGCCTCACTTATGACTGCGGACCCAGCAAGGGATGCCAGGACGGCGGTGGATCACGATGTGAGTGCCAGTGGGAGAGATTGTGCCAAGGCAGTGAGTGCAGTGCGAATCTCTCCGAATCTCAGATGCGACTTTCCATCAAATCATATGCGATGAAATCGTGACATCTGAAAAGCAATTAATTGACTTTTGTTGATTGCTATTTTCATGGTGTTTGACCACGAATTTTCCAAATAAAGTGCCATGGTGAAGTACCTAGGCGCCGCACCTTCAGATGAATGCAGCAGCATCAAACTTCCTCCAAGCGCAAACTCGGTTGGGCATTATTGCAAGCACAATATACTTTTCACCACCTCTCACTCGTCCCTGCGGTCCTCCTTGAAACGCGGAAGAACGCGCCGGGTGATCCACACTGGCGGGTAAAACCTCACCTAGCCAACCTAAACAAAAGCGGCGTTCAAACTCACCACAACTGCCCTGGTAGATAACGCCGCTTTAAACACGTAGAATCAATGGGGCCAAAGCTAAGCCTTGTTTAAGCTCCAGGGTGATCGGGTTGATGCTTGGGATGCACAAGCAAGACTTGACATCGCATGAGACGGTGAGACGTCGATCAGGGGACAAGATGGGGAAGGCCAGCCAGCGTGGCGAAGGGAGGGGCCAAAGAACTTCCACACCCCACACAATCATAAGAATCCATCTGGACCCCATCTTATCGCATCCACTCCAAACAGGTACAACAGGGCGGTATGGCGCTTCTGCAGGTCCCGAAATGGAAATCCTCTCATCCTCCAAATTTTTTTTGGGGGACGTTTGTAGAAGTACCGTGTAAAGCTGCATCTGCAGTTGAATATCGAATCTGCCCATTTTCTGATGTTATTTCTATTCTTACATCTCCAGCCCCCAAGATAAAATACTCCGTAGTCAATATAGATAGATCTCCGTACTATGCATCGGAAGAAATCAAGTTTTGCATCCACACATATGTCATCCATGACCGAATCGTCAGCAGAAATACCAGCACCCAACCTGACCTATATCACCCCTCTTCCTCCGTGATATCGATAGCAACGGCTGACTGGGATGGGAACAACGCACTCGCCACCTGCACTGTTACGAAGTAAGTTGATCAAAGCTGCATTCTGGAAGTCTGAAGTCTGAGAGATCCGGGACTTAGAGCAGATCACGATAATCTCTCCACAGGACCACGGGGTCTTCAAACTTTGATACCAATTCTCTTTTCATCTCATCAGGATATCAAATCTACTGCTACCAAATGCCATCCCATGTCCGCGTTTCTCTATCATCTCAGCTCAAGAGTCAAGAATTCTTTCAGATGCTTAACGCATGACGGATGGCGGGATAAATGCTGCGCCGCTGCGCCTCCTCTCTATGATTTGAGTGGGTGGGTGGTGGTGATGCCCCCTTATGCAAGGGACTTGCTTTGCTGTTGCTGCTTCTGCTTCTGCCGGGTCGGGTAATGAGGGAATGGCTCTTTTGGGACATGTTTCCGTTTTTCGAATGTTGGTCTTCTGTAATTGGTGGTTGTTGACGTCGCGATGAAGAATGATTGAGAAACGGGATTTTTTGAGGTGATGACTATTACATGTGTATGTGGTTGGAAGGGGGGTGTTGTCATGTGGTATTCTTTTCTTCCTATCTTGTTGTCAGTATGGATGCTCTTGAGTGAGGTTTGAGAGAATTCATGTGGTGGAATATTTTGGATTAGTCGTTGGGATGGAAATGTTGGTGTGTTGAATACTTCTTTGGTAACGCTGGCTAGGTAACGTCACCTCCACTGCAGGTGCCTAGCGAAGGGATCACGTTTTCTAGGGTTTTGTGAAGTCCAGTGTTTTGGGGAAGCCCGCAATGGCTGAGTACAGAGCGAGCAAAAGCATCTCAAAGTCAATTACTACATAGCACTTGGTCCGCACTTACCAAGCACCACTACAATCTAACGAATAACCCAGTCTTTCTAACCTGGTTACGTTAAGCTGAGAAATGTGTTGGGTTATCTACTAGCTAATTTGTTGATGAATATAAGTACGATGATTTCACTCACTACTCATATTCCTTACATGTAGTGTTTAGAAGCCGTCAAAACTCAAACTCATATAGTCAATGAGTAAGAGAAAAGGTAAAAGGCCTCTTAAGTATATAAACAATAACAGCCTGAAGAAAAGGATCCTAAAGTGTCTAGCGAAGCCTAACCTCACAATAAGTTTGAATTTACGGTACTCAAGTATATATCTGTTACGACATGTCGGTCTCAGCCCAGCTGCCTAACCTGTCTTAGATACCTAGTATTCTAGCGGCTCCCACTCGGTCAGGGTCGTCTTATAAGACTCCCTACTTGCACTGCCCCTTAGCTAGCTTCTCGCCTTGTGCTTATCCTATTCCACATTGTGTCCTATTCATCTTCTGATAACATCTGTTGTAATAGACTTACCAACCAACTCACCTTCCTATAAAAATTAAAAAAACGAAGTAGGTAGGAAGTCCTATATCGTATAACAAAGCAAATCCAGCTAGATTACTTCATATGAATGCCCTTAGCATACGGTAGGAATGAGGTGGGTTTACGGAGTTGTGGTTGTTTGAGGTAGTAATAAGTAAAATTGTTGCTAGGGGTATTTAATTTGGGGGATTTTGAGGTGTTTTCTCCATTCCGTGGTTGGAACTTGGGTTTTTGGTAAGTGAGGTATAGGTAGGTAAGTTTATTTCTGTCTTTCTTTTTCTGATGAGGCTGATATGAGTAAATGAGATGAAGCTTCCCTTTTCGGGATTTTTGAGGGGTTTGTTTAGGCTGACTCTTTGATTGGTGGGTAGGCAGAGTGATGCGATATCTTGCGATGTGGTGGTTGTAATTAAGCGAGCTGGCGGAGGAGGGAACACTATTTCACAGCGGGGAGTAGTACAGAAGTGAGAAAGGTGAGAAGGGAAGGTATATGACATTAAGATTCTCAATCCCCAAACTGGCGATTCTCACCCGTGGTAGAATTCAAATCTCCACTCTACCTAATAGACAAACCTCACAAAAGACACAAAATCAAGAATAACAACCAATCCACATCCCCTTTCTACCTTACTTCGTAGTATTCTTCTCTACCACCCCCCTCGCAAATTCACCAAAAGTAATGTTCTGTTCAACATCCACCACCTCCCCCAAATTAGGCTGGGTAAACACAGCAAGTGTATTCCTCGCAATCCTATGACCTTCCTTCTCCTTACCCCCAAATCCAGGTCGAACGCCACGCACATAATGAGGTACAGCTTTGAATTTCCCTTTCGTGATGCGTTCTAGTGCCTCGCCGGTTTGGAAGGCGATGCTGTCACGAGGGATCTTGACTTGAACTGTGGCGCCGGAGCGGGAGCGGATGTAGAGGCCTGCTGTTGGATCGGGGGATGCCGGGAGCTCGGTTAGAGCAGGGAGGTGGGAGGAGGTTGTTGTCTGGTTTGTGTTAGTATCCCATTCTTCAATCCGTTTTAGTTGTTATTTATTTGGTGATCTTGGACTTACAGGAACAACAGGAACTTCACTCGTGTCATCCACAAACATAGCAGAAGTCAACCCCGTCAAACACCCATGATCCAAATGCGTCGCACACCAATCATCTTCATTCTCCTCTTTCTCTCCCTCCTTCTCCACCGCCGGGAAATAATGCAAAAGTCGAGCCTTGGTGGTAGTACTCGTCTTCACAACATGTTCTAGATAGCCCTTTGTATACCCCTCTATCTCACGCTCTGCATAGGAATCACATGCTTTCGCGACAAGAACTCCCGTGTTGATGATTAGCTTACATAGTTCTTCAAAGGTGGCTTTGAATCCTGGCAATACGTCCTCGCCGGGCCATAGATTGGCAGAGAGATATTCGGGGAAGTTGTCTGGTGAGAAATCTGCTGTGGGTTTCGCGCAGGAGAGTGAGGGGTCGACGTAGAAGGCGCAGTTGGCGTAGAATGAGCCTTTAAGGGTATCTACTTGGCCGTTTTTCAGAGTCTCTTTTCCCAAAGACCAGCCTGTCAGGTATTTTGCTGTTGGGTTTTCGAGTTTATCTATTGCAGTAGCGGGTTAGTCAGGGCTTTTGAGTTCATGGATGAGAGTTACCTAGTGAAGATGAAGGAAGGTTTCCAAGATAGGAAGAATAGGAGAGGAGACGGTGACGGAGCTCCACGAATTCTGAAGGGACGTCTTTGACGATTATTATCCCTAGCGAGTCTGGTCCAAAGGCTGCTTCGAGAGTTGAGAAGGGGACCTTGCCTGGTATGAGTTAGTGGATGTACATAAGTAAGTGGGGGTGTATTTCATATTACTTACCATTCTTCAAATCCTCAAGACTTACTGTTACCGCAGTTGAAGACATTTTGCACTCGTACGTATTCAAAGACCAGAGATTTCCAAAGTATTTCCTGGGTATATGTAGATTCGCGTGCCGTTCCTAATACTGATATTTAAGTTCTCAATGCAAGTGAATGACCTCGGACCCCGCCGATTCTCTATCAACCCCAGAGCCGAAGTACCCCCGCTTCTGGGAACTTCCTCATTCGTGCCTTCCAAGCTCCAGAGTTCCTGGTCTTTCCAACAACCCCACCAATATATCTCACTCTCTCACCATGGTCAAGGCATTAACATTCAAAGGCGACAAGAAAACCAAAAAGCGCAAGCGCGTCGATGTTGCGGATAAATTTGGGGACGAAGGAACCTCATCGTCGAAAGGAAAAGAAGTCGCGATCAAGAACGACGAAGGGAATGAAGGTCCGGTAGATGACGATAGCTGGGTGACAGCAGAAGCTTCCGGAGATGTTGTCGGACCTATAATCTTTGTTTTACCCTCCGATACGCCTTCCTGTATAGCGTGCGATACGAATGGCAAGGTATTCGCCAGCGCGCTCGAGAACATCATTGAGAATGATCCCGCGACAGCAGAGCCCCATGATGTGAGGCAGGTGTGGGTTGCGAATAAAGTTGTTGGGACAGAGAACTACACATTCAAGGGACATCATGGAAGGTGAGATCTCTCTGGCCTTCTCCCGCTCAGCAATTGGGTATTTAATGCTGACATTGGAGTAGATATTTAGGATGCGACAAATACGGTATCCTCACCGCAACCACCGAAGCTGTCTCCCCCTTCGAAACCTTCCTCTGTATACCCACCGCCGACACACCAGGCACCTTCCAAATCCAGACTCTTCGCGAAACATTCCTTACCATTAAAGCCTCTACGTCGTCCAAGTCCGGCGCGCTGCCAGAAATCCGCGGTGATGGAGAGGCTATTACTTTTAATACGACGTTTAGGATACGGATGCAGGCGCGATTCAAGCCGAAGTTGAAGGCTTCGAAGGAGGAAAAGGCTAGAGAGAAGATTAGTAGGAAGGAGTTGGAGGAGGCGGTTGGGAGGAAGTTGGAGGATGATGAGGTTAAGAGGCTGAAGAGGGCCAGGAGGGAGGGAGATTATCATGAGGCACTGTTGTTGGTGAAGGTTAAGAATAAGCATGATAAGTATAGTTGAAAGACTATGGGTGGCGAGTTTGCGTCTCGGTCTCTGACCGTTGAACTTGCCAATTGCTCAAACCTGGTTATGGCAAATATGGAACGGTAAAGGGGGAGGGAACTTTGCTGAGGATTCTTGACATGAGGTGACTTTCTACCTCAGAGAGATAGAAGTTCAAGGCATGGATTTATGACAGCTACGTCAAAAAACAAAAGGGTCCTGAGAAATGTCAGGATACCATGATCAGCACTCCATAACCTTGCCTTGGGGAAAAGAGGCCACTCCGTGGACTAGGGAAGGGGTAGTATATATCAGATAGCCATAGGCTAGCATCATATTGTATTAAAATCTGTCTCAAAAACCCTCGGGCTCATTCTATCCACCGTTCTCTTTCATTTCAAGATCCCCTAAAAGAGAAAATACTTCAAGGTACAAAGTACAACTTCTGAATCTTGAATAAGTCTCTTTTTTCGAACAACCAGATAAAACCAAGAAACAAGTCCGGTAAGTCAAGAAGACATCCTTGGTGCAATTCTATTCTCAACTCTTCCCTACACTAACCAAGGTATGATCCTAAGAAAAGCAGAAAAGAGATTTCCTATTCGCGTGACATATTTCAAAGGCATTCTTCCCTTGTCAAGTACATGAATCAACTTCAGAAGAAGTAACAGCGAAGAAAAAGTGTAATAAATACCGCTTTTCCCGTGCCTTAGGATTAGGTTTATCAAGATATATTCCGGGATATGTATACTAGTTCCTTGATTCAAATTGGAATCTCTTGTACCTGAAAAGCGTAATAGATACAGCCAGCTTGCCAGAGAGTCAAGGAGAAGGCCATCTCTGCAACAACAGCGGCGTCAAGGAAAAAGGCGGCGACGACGCGATAGATAAAAAGGCTTATTGACGTGGTGTTTGTCCTTATCCAGGTGGATGTACGCAGTGGGAGGGTGAAAACCCAGATTTTGCCCTTCCAAAGGAAGTGTCAAGGTTAGACAGGGTGAAACAAGGCATCTTTGCAAAGGTGAGCTTAAGTCCTTTCATAGTATCAGTCAGAGCCTTGTGCTGGGAGAATATTTATCATCTGAATGCATGTTGTGAATTTGACAGTAAGGAAAGGATTTGACGGTAGATGATTCGTGAGATGGTTGATGGGTGGTGTGTTGGATGTAGAGGACATTTCCATTCTATTGGTGCGTGGAGAGGTAAGTGGTTCTAGGGTTGTACTGTCTATGTGATATATAGTTTTTGAGAAATTTTGAGCTTCCCTCCGTTTACGAAGAGCGCTTTCTCTATATACGCACTTACTAGTCTGTATCTTAGAGTGGGGTTCATCTTTTATATCTCATGCTCCTCGCACTATTTTGTGTTTTCTCTATTGGGGCATAGATTTCCGAAACACCATTCAGTTCTGAAAGAACAGCGAAGAAGGCGACGAAACGATAGTGTACTACTGGCGTATCTGGAATGGAAGAGAAGGAAAGAAATAACATATCGGTTGTGTTGATCTTCACTCGTAGAAACTGGAGAAGTTATTCTAACAAACACGCAAATTCTCCCCCCTCTTTCCCCCGAACGTCTCATTTCGTCTGCTTCCCAAGTCTTATGCAGCGCTCTAGATGGATGTAGTAGGAGTATTCTTGTCTCTCTGGCTTCTGAGGGAGTGGTTTTTGGTTGGTGAGAGTTGAGCTGAGAAAACTTTGGTTCATATAAATAGACTTCTTCTGCATCAGTATCAGATCAAGAAAAGCGATATAGTGTCGAATGCAGAAATAGGAGGAGTGGCGTCAAACTGTTGGCTTCGTTACCAAAAGACAACTCAGGACCACGAGAGATTGTGGTGTACTCCGAGGAAGTTGGAACTGAAGATCAGCTGAGGCCCCATGTTTCTGACTTTGTAATTTGAGAGAGATATATGGAATGACAGCAAATAAAGACCTGAAGGTTGATGAAAGTTCGGATTATCCGTGATGTAGAATTCACGGTAAGATGGAATGTGTGTGGCTTGAAGTTTATTTAGGTAGCTTTTAAAAGCTATCTACTGACTGCAGGTACTCTAATGGTAAACTGTTACATTCCTGTCTCTTTTTGGAGAACCTCATCCTCCTGATCTTTTTCATTTGTTGACTACCAGTTTCAAAAACTTACTTATTAAGTAGTTATTGACAAAAGACTTCATCAAAGGAGGGAACTATCACGGATGACATAGAAGGCAATATTTCATTTTAGTCGGTTGATTTAAATAAGAACGACTACAAAGAAGTGTCATTGCTGCAAGATTTCCTCCAACAAGGAAAGAATTTCAGGTAGTTCAGTGAAGTAGTAGCACTTACTCAACTCAACTCGAGTAGTGATTGAGATTTGATTGAGACTGATTAGGCTGTTCTCGCGCTGCCTCGGAATGAAGAGCTTCAAAAACACAAATTATATTCTGGGTGGTCGATATAGGACCTCCTCGGCTCCTACAAAAAATTGTCATTCCAGCAAAGTTGTCTCAAAGCAGCGAAAAGAATTCAAGTAGTTCAGTGAAGTAGTCGCACCTACTCAACTCAACTCGAGTAGTAATAGAATCTGTTTGAGTAGCTGATTAGGTTGTTCTCGTGCTGCCTCGAAATGAAGAGAGTCAGGAAATGCAAATTATATTCCGGATGATCTATCTAAGACTTCTAGTATTGGCGAGTAATGAATGCCTTAATATGATATTTCAAATCACGATATTCCAAGACTGTCGTAAACTCGTGACGCCTTTCTGGCGAGCGAGGTTCACACTGTGTACTCAAATTGGAAACCTCGCCTCTCAACATACCACAGGGCCGCAGGCGACCGACACATCTTGGCGATTTTTTCAGTGGTGTCTGCTGGCAGATCTAGATGCTGGAATTTCTCTTGAGATCACTCTTAGCTTCAATACCAAAGAATGATACATGGCAAATCCGCTTTGTGCATGATCATGATACCAATTATCCCTCTATCATAATCTGATGGATATTTTTGAATCGACAGCAAAAGAAGATCCGACGGCAGAGGCTTGTTAAGATTGTGAAGGCAAAGACTTGTTGGGATTGTGAGTGGTATACGTAGCACAGTAAGATAAGAGGCGTTTTGGTCTTGATTTTGACATGTAGGCACAGAATTCAAACCCCTAATCACCATCGACTTCCCCGACCTGTTCCAAATCGTCCGCGAGTGGGTTGTCTCCCAAGAGACACTGCTTTAATTTAGTGAGAAGATTGTAACCTGGAGCCGTGATTATATGGGTACTGATTTCTTGGGCTCTTTCTCGTTTCAAACTATGTACTGGCTCAACTGAGTGGCAATGAAACCCAGGTATTCGCTCTGTGAAATGAGATGTCACTGACTTATAATTATGTTACACTTGAGTATGAGCAATATGTATTACTCATATCTGGGGAAAGTATAATATGAAAGTTTCGAAGAATTAAGAGCAGCCGGATAAGTTACAACGCAAATCTGCTCCTACGGTGCTTACCCATCGTGCTTCAACTGCCACGACAACGCCAAAATAATGGAAAACATTCTCAAGCCATCTTCCTTGAAACACATCACTGGTTGTAAAATTTCCCACACAACCAGCAGCTTGGGTATGGAGAAACACGATCAAGCGACAAACTATCATAACCATAAAAACCCTCAAAATTCCACACAACTTCAGAGCATCCAACTACACTGTATCTAGCATTACCAATATAGCAACTAGACCTAGTACTACCAACAAAGCCCACACAGCCAGACTCCCTCAGCCTCACTTCTAGCTCACCCCACTTAACTCAACTTCCTTCCCGTATCTCAACCTAAACTCCTGCAACCTCATTTTACCTCAACCACATCCTATCAATAAATTCTGAGAATCGCAATCAATATGGCGTCCACGGATGATACCAATAACCAGGAATGAGAATCCGACGATGAATATCAACATCACACGACTGATGAAGGGATGAACGATGGAGGTGTTTCCGCTAGCTCCCAAGCTTGAACGTACTGGGATTCTACCATGGTAACTGCAGTCTGAAGATTGTGCTTCTGACGTATTGTTTATCTGAATTTGGTTTTAGTCTTGACAGCAACAAGTGAGGTGACAGTAGAAGAATATTTAGGTGGCTCTGACGGTTTAGAAGTGAGGCAGGAGTCAGGATAGACCAAAATGTCATAAATGATGCTGGGAGAGTATTTTCGTGGATGTACGACCACCACACCCAGGCAATTTCTCATGTTTGGATGTCCATGTTTATCTCCTCTGCGTGCATATGCTAGCCCATGAGCCACATAATCCCATCCCATCGTCCTGAAAATAATATAGAATTAGAAGACAGACTACCACTTGTTTTTCAGTATGCAAATGTGATATTTGTGAGGGGATTCTTGCAGTCCTGTCGTGGGTTCTGTACCACCTCCTGAACTTCAGAACCTTGCAGAAATAATGGACAGTTCTTGACTCTTGAGTGGTTCATGATGTAACATGGTGATTAAGTTGCTGCTCGCTAACCCCTTCTCATGAAGTGCCCCTAAGGTGGACAAAGAAATGGGCGGATAATCGTTTTGTATCAGAGTAATTGAGTTTAAATCATTTTATTTTCGATTTATATAGACTCTCAAAGACAATGAAGCACAATTCCCAGGGTAATCAAGCCAACCACCCCATCATATCATTCTCAACTACTTTCAACTCAACTTGCGACGGTAGAAAAAAATTAATAACCTTGGTCACTTTTCCTGTTCGTCACCAATGATCATGATGAAAATCAAGGTGCGTATTGACATTTTGCGCGCTGCTATTCAGGAGAAAGGTGTTGATGAAAAGACCCGAAAATAGATTGGCACTGGGTTTCTCTCTCCACTGGAAGAGTAATTAGCGGCTGTAGAGCCCACAATTAAGTAGATGAGGGTTATGTTCAGTCGTACTGTGGCCGTTGCAATGGAAGTATACGCATGTTATCTGAACTTTGATTTCTGATTGACAGCAAGAGGGTATTCGACAGCAGAATGTCGGTCATTATTAATAAGCCTTTAAAGTTAAAAAACTAAAATGCAGGTTTGAACGTTTACTAGATGGTTGTACTCAACTGAAATCCTTTCAGGACATGGGGAATAACTTTAATACTGCTCGTAGGAGTAGAGAACGGACCCGAGTAACCCGACTCTATCCTCAAGGGCGCCAGCTGGACATCAACGACGTTCGGGTTGTTCATGTTTGGGCAGGATGTTGGAGAAGTTTGAGGTTTGGGAGAAGAAGCAAGATGTCTCGAAGTTATAGATCACTTTAAGTGGAACGCCGATATAGTTTTCCCAATACCAAAAGTCCCTATTGAAACTTGCTGGAAATCGTTTTTGTTTCCTTGAGCTGGCATTTCCTGATCTTCAAGGGGAAATTATTAATGAGCTGCTGCCTATGGCAAGCTGTTCGAAACAATGAGGTAGGACTTATTCCCAATATATAGCATGGTTATAGTGTTTGTATGCCCCTCTGGGAACTTGGTGTCAAATATTTCCTGACACTATACGGAAATTCCTGATACCGTCCTAATTAGGTATCAAAAAGTAGGGATTTGATAACCAAAAAGTAGGCTTCTAGGGACAGAGGGTACTCTAGAGACTATTATACTTCTAAGAGAGTTTAAGCGTGACCCGAGCGTTCCGCGAGCTATCTATCTATATTATAGAGCCTTTCCCCCTCCCTTTACCTCTGTAAATCACCTATAAGTACCTAGTCGTTTTTATCTGTCCCTCCCCCTCCCTACCTATAAGTACTTAGTTGTTTTCATCTGTCGCCCTCTATCCCTACCTACCTGTAAGTACTTTTACACTTTGCCCTCCTATAAGTCTCTCTACTTCTATTATACCCCTATACCCCCCCTCTCTCCCCCTCTCTCCCCCTCCCCTACATATAAATAAGTAAACGCGTAAACAAGAATCGAGTAAAGAACTACACCTTTAATACAGATTAAGGTTTGACGGCTACCGTTAGTATTAAGAAAAGTGCGCGTTAGGGAAGGGTTTGTACCCCGGGTCGGCCCGCCGGATGTCAGGTATTTCCTAACGCAGTTCCCAGAGGGATGAAGCTCCTGGCTCAGACGCCTACATGTTTTGTTGCTTGCTCAAGGTGCCCCGACGAAAGGGCGGGGGTTCTAGGGTATTATTGTTCCTGTGACTATTTATTCAAAAACTCGGAGGGTATTGGAGGGAGTACCAAGAGATGGAGTGGTTCGTGGTTACCTCAAGGCACTGTGCCTCAAATATTACCCTAATTCCAAAAACAACAAAGTTCAGTTCATCATTGAAGAGCTTTTTAGCTATTCTAGTTCTTTTTGAGATGAGAATGAAATATTTATATATTTGAGCTTATGCGAAATAGCAAGGCAAAGCAAGTAGATTTTGAGGCTCTAGCACCAGATTGTAGGGCGCAGCCAGCAGGACAAGAATAAAGATTTCAAGAATAAAACATGTTTATGTCCTCTAATATAGAAGACCTATGCCTATCTGTTTGGAAATACAAACCCAAAGAATCTAAGATACTATGAAGATCCGCTTGTTTGCAAGTTGTATTGCTTTGCACTTTTTTCATGGCTAATTGACGTACGTTTTGATCGCTTTGACTTGAGTATACAATGAGCGACGATGAGTCAAATAAACCCCTTGAAATTCAAATCAATAATCTCAGTGAATCTTGATCCATAGAGAAGTCTTAGATGCAAGGTTCTTTCATTCGTTCCTCTCATCGAAAAATTTCATGTTCCGGCCACAAGTAACAAACAAGCTCGCCTCAAAACGCCGAAGCGACGCCAAAAACCCATCATCAAAAATTCTCTTAGCACCAATTAATTCAGCATCAACTCAAGCAACCCACCACCACCACTATAAACCCAACAGTAAAAATGTATACCCTCGACGCCCTCGACCAATTCCAGGTCACCAAACCAGAAAACACATACATCTACGACATCGTACCCACCGCGGCAGGACTCGCGACAATCTCTTCCGACGATGTCCTGCGAGTTCTTGATCCAGGAAATCTAAGTGAGAAACCATTGAAGGAGATCAAAGACGTGAATAAGGATGTTACGTGTCTAAAGGCGGTTGATCCTAATGGAGAGGCGGGTGCGGTGATTGTGGCTACTGCGGGGAGGGAGGGTAAGGTTAGGATGTGGGATTTGAGGACGGGGAGTAAGGTTGCTGAGGTTGCGGTTGGTGAGTTGTTTACTTGTTTGTTGGATGAGTTGGTTTAGGGGATGAAGGGGTTCTGAGTTGAATCTGTTTTTGTTCTTATGGACTTTGGTTTTTCATCTTTTACTCGAGTATATCTACAAGCTTTTGATGCGGGGTGGTGGGGTATTTTCTTTTCGAGAATTGCTGCTAACAATTTATAGATCAGAATGCTCCGATTTTATCACTGGCCTGTTCATTTCCGTATGCAATTACAGCAGGGACTGAGTTGACGAATCACCAGGCCACAGTGGCTATGTGGTGAGTTTTCAAATAACCCCATTGCGGTTCTTGTACTTGAGTACTCGTAGTTGACGTATTCAGGGACACAAGAAATCTCGGACAAGCAACGATACAGTATATCGAGAGTCATAGTGACGATGTCACGGAGGTATGTGCTCCAAAAGAAATTCAAGAATTTTATACTCATTATTTTCAGCTCGGGTTCCACCCAAGTCGACCGCAAATTTTATTGTCTGGTTCAACCGACGGGCTTGTGAACATTTACAACACCACTATCGCCGATGAGGAAGAAGCTCTACATCAAACCATCAACCATGGCCATTCCGTACATCACGCTGGATTCATCACTGATACAGACATCTTCGCACTCTCGCATGATGAACGGTTCTCAATGTATGAATTGGTAACAAATCCCGAAGAGGGCATGGAAGAGCCATCACCAGTCAATTTCGGAGATATGAGGGAACTACTGAGTGGCGAATATGTCGCCAATGTGCTAAGAAGACCGGATGGAGGAGCTGTAATTGGAATCGGAACACACAGGTAAGTTCGTCAAATTCAAAAGACAGTACGATGAAATGATTGATGGTTTTGCAGTCGTCAGAGCTTTGATCTCGTTCAGTTGAAGAAGGATCCTACATGGAAATTTGTACCGGAATCGAAGGTTACTTTATCACGAGCTCATGGCTCTGAGATTGTGAGGTCCTTTTGCTTTCTGGATTCCGTAAGTTGAATTTAGCAATGCGAAAACGATGAAGCGCTAAAAAATATACTAGCATAAAACTGTTCTGACTGCTGGTGAAGATGGCCAGGTCAAGGCTTGGAGGGGTGCATAAATAGGTCGTGTGCCAATTGACCAAATAATTATCAAAAGCAAAAAAAGCAAAAAGAAAACGCAGATACTTCAGAAAATGATTAGCACGTGGAAAATAATCAATTCGAATCGTGAAAATATGACCAGAAATGATCCCGAAGTTGTTGCTTGCAATGTTGGTGGTTTGTAATCCGTCTTTGTCCCTGAGGGGTTGGGAACTCGGCTGAGCTGGTCGCGTTTGCCGACGATGAGAAGAAGCCAGCTATCAACACCTATCCAAACTGCCCAGGTCCCAACACCACGATCCGTTAAGAACGGATTGCCAACCAACCTCTTGAAATGCACCGGTAACCCTCCACTGTACTTTGCTATTGGCACAAGGTGATCACTCATATCAAGATGAAAGACCGGCTGCGGTTATTCCCGCTGGTGGCTATTTGTATGTTTGCCCACTCTGTAGCTAGCTATTCTCCAACGCCGCATACCGAACTAACAACCGCTACAGTTTTTTTTCAACTACTCCACATAGCATATGCCCTTCAAAACGCCGGTAATGACCAGGTAGAATCGGCCGAACGGCATACGAAACATACTATACCGGTTCAGGCTGCTCCCGAGGACTTCCAGCAACCACTCCACGATGGGGACGAGACTTTGAAGAAATCTGATGGTAGGCATACGAACAATAGTGTCCTCGGAGTTATGCTAATGATCAGTAGGCGCAGAGCAAGTTCAAAAAGCCCTCGCATCCCTCCGCAGATTCGAGCGAACGAATCCACGACCAAAACGGAAGACGTTGGGAATTACAGGAACAATCACACAATATGTTTGGGCTATGCTCCCCAAAATATCGGCCCAGGGGCCATCTTCTGCTGGAACAGAGGGGACACAGCCTAGCAAAGAATTGCCGTATCCAGTAGCAGAAGCTGTGAAGCTGCTGGAAGAGGCAGCAGATATCAAGAACTCGGATGCGATGTTTCTTTTGGCCCAGATGAACTTTTACGGCAATTTTTCATATCCTAGAAATTATTCAGAGGCATTTAGGAGATACTCCCAGCTTGCCTCGTTGAACGGAAATAGCTCCGCGCAGCACATGGTAGGATTCATGTATGCTACGGGCATAGGAGGAGCTGTACCACGAGACCAGGCGAAAGCCCTTCTATACCACACTTTTGCGGCCGCAGGAGGGAATGTCAGGTCCGAGATGACCGTGGCGCATCGTCATCATAGTGGCATTGGAACAGTACGGAATTGTGAATCTGCGGTTAAGCACTACAAGAATGTCGCAGACAAAGCCGTCGAGTGGTACAGGTCAGGGCCTCCAGGTGGCATGGCTTGGGTTGCGGATTCCTATCGACTCGCAGATGAAGATGGCGGGGTTTATGGAGAGGGCGCTAGCTTTTCGAGTTCCGGCTCGAATGCGAACAAACAGGGACCTAGCTCTGATGCTCACGCTGCGCTGGATGACGTTCTGGAATATCTGGATTTGATGTCGAGGAAAGGAGATTTCAAGGCTACTTTTAGTCTTGGGCGTATACATTACGATGGCCAGAAAGGGCTACCACGGAATCTAAAGAGCGCAAGATTGTATTTCATGAGAGTGGCTAGATTGTATTGGCAAAAGGATGGGCGAGCAATTGAGTCCGACAAAATGGAACTGGAGAAAATTGCTTCGAAAGCCGCCGGATACCTTGGTCGAATGTTCTTGCGTGGTGAGGGATTGGATCAGAATTTCGAAAAGGCGAATACTTGGTTCCAGCGCGGCATCAAAAGTGGTGATGCTGGTTCTCAGTATTTCTCTGGTGTCATGTATCTTGACGGTTTGGGAGTCCCAAAGAATATACCCAAGGCAACCGAATTGTTCAAAGCTTCGGCGAAGCAAGATTACGCACCTGCAATGGTTGCTATGGGCGCGTTGCATCTCGACCAAGGTGGACCGGAGGACATGCAAGTTGCAAATCGCTATTTTGAACTGGCTGCACGCTATGGCAATATCGAGTCTCTTTATTACCTTGGAGAAATGATCAACCTGGGAATTGGAAGAGATCGCAGTTGTGGTTTGGCGACAGCTTATTATAAAAGTGTTGCCGAGAAGGCCGAACCCCTTGTATCATCTTTTGCTGAAGCAAATTTTGAATACGAAAAAGGAGACATGGAATTGGCTTTGCTCGATTACATATTCGCTGCAGAACAGGGATACGAAAAGGGCCAAGCTAACGTAGCATACCTTCTCGACCAACAGAAATCGAAATGGGATCTGCCAACTTGGTTAACCATGACAGCGCCGCGAGCCTCATTCCTACAAAACTCAGCTCTTGCTCTGATTTACTGGACCCGTTCAGCAAAGCAGACCAACATCGACTCCATGGTCAAAATGGGCGATTACTATCTCCATGGCATTGGGACGCATTCCGATATGGAGAAAGCCGCGGCATGTTACACTGCAGCATCTGAGTTCCACCAAAGTGCCCAGGCCCTGTTCAATCTAGGCTGGATGCATGAAAATGGGGTTGGCCTGGATCAGGACTTCCATCTCGCTAAGCGGTACTACGATCACGCTTTAGAGACCAACGACGAGGCGTATTTGCCAGTCACGTTAAGCTTATTCAAGCTTCGTTTTAGAAGTGCTTGGAATACATTCACTCATGGCAGAGTGAACTCCATACAAGATGAACCAGGTAAGTGGATGCGCACCCTTTACTCTATGTATCCGTAACAGAATCTAACGTATCGTAGCTCCTAAGAAGCAATGGTCCTTTTCTGAGTGGATCGCCAATTTTCTCCAAGATGATCATCCCTATTACAATGACGACTACGATGATAGTAATTTTCTCTCTGATACTGATCCCATGCCCGGAGGAGATGTGGATGGATTCTACGAAGATACCATTGCCGAGTTAGATGGGCTTTTGGAAAGTCTGATTGTTGTTGGGCTTGTTGCTTCGTTGGTGTTCCTCATTTATTACCGGAATCAACATCAGCAGGCCCACCGACAGGGTGAAGCTGCACGAGTGCAGGCGGGTGCTGGCCCTGCAAATGGAGCAGCACAGGAGCAGCAGGAAGATAGAGGGCTTTTCCCACAACCTGGGGACCCGGAATTTGGGCAGTGGGCTGCGGGTGGTGTAGGGCATTAGTGTCCCTTTTAGTGAAGCATTCCAGTGTAGGTTTTTAGCTTGTAAAAAAAACTAACTACATGATTTTTGAACGCATGTAGTACAGCATATGTTTTTGAGTGGATGCAAGTTGCTCCCTGGTTTTGAGTTGTATTCTGTTATCTCTGCTTCACTTCTGGTTGCGCAGTTGGTGTGTGTGAAAGATTCTTGCGGCTGTATTTGGATATTTAGAGCACTAACACATTATCCTACAAAGCTGATATGACGGCTGATATATAGCGGTGGTTGATTTCATTTACTATACTACGGCGCCCCCCGAATCTTCCGATCCTCTATAAATTTATCAGCTGTCTAAAATCTAGCCCTCCGCTCGCGTGCTTGGCGGGGCAGAACTTCCTAAAGAAGATGCTTACCCGAAGGAGACTTTTTTGCGTCCTGCCGCGTTGCTTGTCAGAGGTGCCAAGGGCATCGAGTGGGCTGCAATCTCTCTTGGCGATTTCTAAATAACGGGAAAGTAACAAATCAGGAGAGTGATTTTCCCAGATCCTTGATAGCAAGAGATAACGACGGGTCCGGTACCTGGTCGTGGTGAATGTATTTCGTATGCTACCGAGGCAGGCTTAGTGGGGCGACGGTAGCTATTAGTCCTCCTTCTCGTTCAATCTTTCTTTAGTGCCATCCTCTACGACTTCACCCTTTGGTCATCAACACCACAACATCTTTGGGGCACTCAAGGGATTTGATCACCGATCAAACAGATCAAGCAAACGCGAGGCATTACCAACTGTACATCATGGTCGGTTGGGCTACCAGAATCAACGATGAGGTTGCTACCAGCGCGGTAGGACGACGCTTCCGCTTGGATGGCTCTGGTCATAGGAGATCGCGACCTGGATCGCGGTTCCTTACTGAGCTCCGCGCGGGTATTGCTACTTTCTTTGCCATGGCCTACATTATCTCGGTATGTTCAAGTTCGATAGGTTCTCGTCTCTATTCAGGTTTGAGCTATACAACAACCATGAACGTCTGGGACATTCCGCTTGTCTGTTCCGGGTGGTTGTTATGACTAACTACAATTATTCGAAGGCTTCGGGATGATCGTCCGAGATTATGTTGAAGCTTTCTGGCAATCATTTGTCGCTTATTTGACAAGATCGAAACTAATTCGATCTATAGGTCAACGCTACAATCCTCACTGATAGTGGTGGAACTTGTGTCTGCAATAGCACCACTGATCCTACCTGCGCTACTGATGTAGAATATGGTTTATGTCTTTCCACTATTCGACGGGACTTTATCACTGGAACCGCCGCTGTCTCTGCTCTCACCTCTTTTTGCATGGGTCTCTTTGCGAATATGCCTATTGCTCTTGCGCCTGGTATGGGTGTGAACGCCTACTTCACATACACTGTGGTTGGCTTCCATGGAACTGGACCAGTTCCTTATAGACTTGCTTTGACTGCTATCTTCATCGAAGGCTTCATCTTTGTGGGCTTATCTATCTTTGGAATGCGACAATGGCTTGCCAGAGTGATTCCTGCCTCCATCAAGATCTCTACTGGTGTTGGAATTGGGCTTTACTTGAGTAAGCTTACACTACATTGAGGTTTGGAGATCAATAGGCTAATATGAAAATAGCTATCATTGGAATGACCTACAGCGCTGGTATCGGAGTTATTACGGCTGGAAAAGATACCCCCTTGGAACTTGCTGGATGTTTGACATCTCAGATGGTCGAGGGCGCCTGCCCTGGATCAGTAAAGATGAGAAACCCTACCATGTGGATTGGAATGTTTTGCGGTGGCTTCCTAACAGCAATTTTGTTGGCCTATCGCGTAAAGGGTGCAATCATCTTTGGTATCTTGCTCGTTTCCATCATCTCTTGGCCACGTAACACACCTGTTACATTCTTCCCTCATACACCGATTGGAGACGATGCTTTTGACTTCTTCAAAAGAGTCGTCACTTTCCATCCGATCCAGGAGACACTTGCAGCTCAGGATTGGGATGTTTCTGGCGTCTCCGGTCAATTTGGACTTGCTCTGATTACCTTCCTCTATGTCGACATTTTGGATTGCACTGGAACTTTGTATTCCATGGCACGCTTCTCTGGTGCTATCGACGAGGAAACCCAGGATTTTGAGGGCTCTGCTGTGGCTTATATTGTCGATGGTAAGACTTTGTTCCTCACCACTTATCATAATAGTTTAACTAATATTTGACTAGCTACCGGTATCTCCATTGGATCCCTTTTTGGCCTTGCTCCTGTAACAGCATTCATCGAGTCTGGAGCAGGTATTTCTGAAGGCGGAAAGACCGGAATCACAGCAATGGTTACGGGTATCTGCTTCTTCATCTCGATTTTCTTTGCCCCAATCTTTGCCTCTTTCCCACCTTGGGCTACAGGATGCACACTTATCGTCGTTGGGGCTATGATGGCCAAAGCAGCCAAGGACATCAACTGGAGCTATTGGGGGGACTCATTACCGGCATTCATCACCTTAGCCGTCATGCCGTTCACCTACTCGATCGCTTACGGACTCATCGCAGGTATCTGTTCCTACATCATCATCAACACCTCCGTGTGGCTCATCGAGGTCGTCTCTGGTGGCCGAATCGTTCCAGCGGACAAGGAATACAAGGAACCATGGTCTTACCAAATCCGGGGTGGCATTCTTCCTGCTTGGCTTGTTAGAGCTAGCAAGGGGTAACCTTTTCTCTTTCATTTCTTCATGTTTCCCTTTGTTGCGTATATGATTTTTCTCATACTAAAAACCCGGTGTAGCAAGAAGGATTTCTGGCACGAAGATTACGATGAAGAACCCGTCGCGGTCGCTAACTCACACACGCCTTCCACTCGCACCACTCCCGATGAGATGTCCAAATCGCAACCGGAAGTCGGGACGCAGGCGCAGCCTGAGGGGCCGGGGGCAAAGACGGAGAAGTTTTCTTAAGTGTAACCACCAATTTATTACGCTGGATGGCGGGCCATCACCCGGGCTGCAGATTTGGAAGGGGGCTTGCTGGATTAATACGCACGTCGTTCTGGACGTGATGAGGGTTTGTACATTTGTAGCGGGATATGGCAGATTTGATTACATGCTACGATACTACGAATTTCGGTGGTTAGGGAAGCCTAGGTATAGCGGTTGTGGGCTTGAATGGCCTGAGTTTAATACTATGAGTAAATACATGACAGACACAGATTTCTTCCTCTCTTCGTGTGATGGATACCTAGGAATGGTGAACGCGGTGGGCAGTTAAATTAGCTCATTAAAACTATGAGTTCTGTGACAAATCTTTGTGGTTCCATGCCGCTTTTTAGAATGTTTGATATTCACATACCTACTGTTATGTGCGGAATGATTCTGGTGCTAACAGCTTTCTAGAAGCTCCAATCACTTAAGCTTAATTTCCTTTTGTTGAGATGTACAAGTTGCAAGACTAAGACCTCTTCTAATTACTGTACCCCCTTGGTCTGAAGTTGTGTAACAGTAAACAGCATAGCCCTGTACACTATTTTGAACATCGCAAGATCTCAGGGGGTAGGCAGGCCAATGGGAGAGCTATTTACTGCCACTCTGTTTGGTGAATGGTAAGACGGGGTTGGAATTCACAGTACATCGCCTATTTAAGCTTGACTCGCTTCAACTTGTGAATTTTGGGAGTTTGTAGGGTATTAAGTTCCGAATAATGGGGTTAGTCGTTACTTGTGTGGTGAATCTCATACTTGAAGTTTGTATATCAGCTAATTGGCTCAACTGTCTCAGAAGCGTCTACCAGAGTACCCTACCGCGTACGCGCCGCCGACTCGGCCCGAGAGCTAATCAGGCCTTGGCACCGCTATCGTTATCGTGGAGAAGCTTGCCTGACATCAACTTCCTCGAACCTCACAAACACCACGCTTCAAGATCATGCTCACACCAATTACTCCCCAACTGACATCCCAGCACTAACCTCCCTGAAGAAGTTCTCTCTCCTCAAGATACCATGTACACACCAGCAGCCAAACGCCGCCGCATCGACGACGCCTCCAAGACTCTCTCCAAACCCTTCCGCTCCCCCTTCAAAACACCATTCAAATCCCCAGTGAAAGCCCAAGATGGCACCACTACCACTCCCACTTCCAAGCAGCTCACCCCCGCTTCTAAATTGGTCCTCTCCAATAACCCCCCTAAGCTTCCTACTACGCCCTTGAATCTCAATCGTACGCCCCGCTCCGCGACGAGAAAGAAGCAGTTCTCTTCTCCTATATCTACGGCGGTTCTTAATGCTGATCCGGCGATTGCGCCGTTATTGAAGACGCAGAGGGACTTGGAGCGGGAATTGAAGGAGCTGAAGGAGGAGTTGGATACGGCAGAGCAGGCGAGGAAGATTGAGAGGGAGAGTACGGATGAGGAAGTTGATGGGGAATTGAAGGTTTTGATTGAGAAGTGGAGGGGGGCTAGTCGGGAGGCGGCCGAGGAGATGTTTGGGAGGGTGAGGGATCGGGTTAATAGGTATTTATCAGTTCTTTTGCTGATTACCTGGGAGTTTGGTGGTACTGACGGCTTGTAGAATGGGTGGTCCGAGAGCGTGGAAGGAGATGCAGAAGAAGCAGCAGGAGTTTCAGGGACAGTGGGAGGATGAGCAGAATAATAATGCGGATGATGATGATGATGAGGACGAAGACGACGAAGAGGCGAAAGAGAGAGCTAAGAGGAAGAGAGAGTTATACGATCAATACGACATCGAGATAGAGACGGAGAACGAGAAGTCGCAACGCGAAAAGAGGTTAGGCGACACAGGAGAGCGACCAGGCGAGGAAGATGTAACTTCTCCCTTTACAAATGACTTGTGGTCTTTGACTGATTCGATCTAGGAGTTTACGATGGCAATGATGCTTCGCACCTTGAATGTTGACCTAGATGTCATTGGCTATGACAGAGATCAGCAAAGATGGGTGGACTGATCAAAATGACAGCGTGGTTTACACGATGTCGCCCCTCGATCTGTCGCAAGAACGCAAGAAATGCTCGTGTTGCACAGCAGACAAGACGTAAATATTGGTACGGATTTCACTCAAAGCGCTCTATTGAGGAAGAGCTGGATGCATTTGTGGCTGGCATTTTGCTTTTGTTTTCTATTTTCTTCCTTAAAGATGCCCCTTTTGCAAAGCGTGGATGTATAGAGTTGCTGCTGGTTTGGTAGCTGAATGATACTTGTTTTACCTTCGCTTATGTTAGGCATAGACTGACATGTCGTAATAATATAACTATTACTACTACTCTACTTGTACTTTTATACCTTTATTTTCCTTAAGATTAGAAAGCTTAATTATTGGTATATAAATTCGTTATTAGTCTAAGGATACTTTTAGGATACCGGATTAATCCAGGATACCGTAATAACGTAGAATACAAGTCGTTTCACTATAAACTTCCCAAAGGGCAAGTATCTTTAAATCAACGCATTCTTTTATTATGTTTCTAAAAGTTTCTAAGTACAACGGTCTAGTTAGGTAATAGTAATAGCTTAAGAAATCAACGGTTACACAAGTGTTGTAGAACAAAAGGAAAAATAAGGTCAACGCAAATCAGGAAACTTTCCAACGAGCAAATAAAAAAAGCACATATTTCATATGTACCGCATACGGCGCATAATTCCTGGGTTTAATCTCTCTAGCATCGTAGCTAGAAATTCTGAAAAATTCAGATATTTAAGCTCTGTTGCGTGGTGGATCTCAGCCTTGTCTATATTGTCAATACTTGTATTGAGATCGTCAATATATACTGCCCAAGGCCGCATTAACTGCCGGTATATGTCCTCTGCAGTCATTGATTGAGGTTCGGCATTCGAAAAAGCTTCTAAACAATACTCTCTGTTTTTCTTCAAGAGGAATTTCTCTACGTCCTCTGGTTTTCGGAAATCTATTGTTGGATCTTCCGGAAATATCTTCGATTCTACGACGGCATCATGCATCACTTGCCCCCAAACTTCCCAGTTTGTCGTAGCGTCGTCGACAACTTCGTTCTCGCTCTTGTACAAGACGTCGTTCGTTCCCTTATAGCGATGGGTAATACATACAGTGATGAGAGCGCAAAAGAATTCTTTTTCCCATTCTGCATGGGTTTCGACAAAGCTGTGTACGGTTTTGTATTCGTTCATGGTGGCTTTGTATATGGTGAGAAACTCCACGAGAAGTTCTGATTATTGAGCTATTGAGAGATTGAATAGCTAGAGGATTCGCACAAAAGGATGTGCTCGCTTTTCGTAAAAATGGTTTGCAGCCAGTGAGAGACAGAGGGGTCTTTGCTTGAATGCCCTCGCGTGGAAGCTTGCTGATGAGAGTTGATGGCAGTATTGGTTTTGGCTGTTCAGAGAGCTTGGAATTATGGCTTTGAGTGTTTGGAATCTGAGTTTGGAATTTTGGAGTTTGTTGTAGGATAGAAAGCAATTAGCTGCTACTTCGTGGTATTTATAGCTTTTGGTAAGGATACGCTGTGAATCAAAATAACAAAAAGTCGGCGAATAATCCGGTGAGAGGACGTTATTCAGGGCCTCGTTGTTTGTTGGTATTGTTCATATAATTACTCACACTGAATAGGGAATCACTTTGGTCCCCTTTTGCTTTTCATCTCTTGTCTAAGGATATTCTTGCGCTGAAGAATCGGCCAAGAAATATTCAAGGGTAAGATATATCTACTGATAAACTCCGAAGGGTAAGACCAGTTTGAAAACAACTTATATTCTTATTTTTGTTAAATAGTTAATGTAAGCATAAAGTTGAACTTAGGTATTATTCTAAGACTATACTTCGGTCGGAAACGATTGAATTATAAATCGTATTATCGTAAAAGTTATCTATTTACTACTACTATTACTAGTACTATATATACCTTTGCACCCCTACTTTGCTTATGATTAGAGCTTAGTTATTCACGTTACACGTGTTCCTAGTATTCGCTACCCTCACCTACACTTGTCTTTACGTTCCTACTATTGTATTCTTACTATAACGTAGACTTGCTATCGTATAGCGTTAATTTGTCCCTTGATATATTCTTTGAGGTAGATAGAGAAGGGGGACGGGGCCGGGGCCGAGGAAATACTTTAGTCATACGTGTCGCTTATTCCTAGCCCCTAACCCTTTATGAGCGCGGGTCCACATATATAGATATTAGGGAGTATAGTATATAAATAGTTACTAAAAAGACCGCGGTTATATATAAATTCTAGTATTTTCTACGTATTTCTATACTTTTACTACTATATACGCCTTGAACGACCTACTTACTTCGTACCACGTACCTAACGTGCCTTGAATCGCGCGCTCGCTTAACTTGACTCACGTACTCGCTTAAATTGTTTAAATTGCGCACTCGCCTAACTTGCTTGAATTATATCATACACTTACTTGAATTACCTACTTGTCTAGAAGGGAAATAGAGAGAAAAAAAAGGACGGGGGTGTTAGGGGTATACTTATAGTAAAGATAGAGGAATAGTAGGGAGGGATAGTTGGGGAGATTATTTTATCACTGAATTAATATGATAGTACTAGTAAATTTATAAGTTATACTTCAAACAGTCTGCTCAATCTAACCTAGAGTAGTATTTAACACTAGTATCCTTTTAGGCTTACAGTCTAGTAAAGTAGACGGGCATTTTCCTAAGCTATATAATTCGGTTCTATAGAACCTCTATAGAATAGGGAGTATAGAATACAATGTAATTCGAGTTGCCGGGCGCTGTTCCTTGGACTTCTCGACGCGCAAAACATTAACATTTGTTACAAAGACAAAATCCTGACCGAATTCATGTACTCGAAATCAGACTGCCAGTCACGTATCATACAGGAAGTTGGAGAAGTCGAAACCATTACCAAGCTCATAACCACTGATGGGAAAACAAATCAGAAGACCCTGGATTCTCATCTCACCAGGACATATACATCCAATCTACCAGCTGACCCAGCGCGTCCGAGGATCAACGAAGCAAGAGTTATCCTGGCTTCTCCCCTCAACTGAAGGTGATAAGCCGAACATCAAGCCACAATATGTAATTGTGTTTCCCCGCCCCCCTCTCAACCCCCGGCGGATTGTAGGTTTTTTTGTGTGCTAAGCTTTCCTCTATACTTGCCATGCATTAACTGTACCGACGAATCTTTCTTGTCCATATACTAACAATCCGCTACTTTCTGAATCTAAGCGATTTTATAACGTAAGCGAGCCAATAATATGTTTTTCATTCTCGTGGAAATAAATATCTATTGCGCCTTGGTGTGGCAGTGACCTTTCGAGATGCTGTGCTAGAGTCCTGCGATCATCCAACTCTGCAATACCGGTCGATGGGACATCTACCTAACGAATCAATCTCGGGCGAATTTTGGTCAATCCTTCATCCCAAGATAATCTCGATGCTAAGTCTTACACCCTGTATACGATGATGGAGCGGAAAGCTGCTTTATAGACCACCACAGCTCAATCAGGTAGGCTTCAAGTGCAGAGACCAACGTGGGAATCGTCCATTTGCAGATTCGTACCAAGATTCTATCTTTCAAGAATCTACAGATACGGTAGTCTATGGCTGCATTAAAAGACACTGTTCTGATCCGATGGTAGCGGCAATCACAACGTAAGTTCGAAGTTGTCCAATTCTCTTAATGAGCGCCCTTGACCTTTCGCCAGTGTTCATTTCCAATAAAACAAAATTGTATACATACCTCCTCAAGGTTTATGACATTCTGAACGGATGTCTTCGAAAGTTTGCGTCTCGACGGCACGGACTGCCTCGTCACCAAGAGAAGGCTTGATAGAGTATCAAGGTTTAGAAACCACGCGCACCTTTTCCAGGGCGCACTAAAAATAAGCAATCCAACCTGAAAGGATGTCATTATGGATCTAGAGGTGAGGAACGGTGACTGCAGTGAATTCCGTTTTCTCGGCTATGGTCGCCACCAAGCTGTGGAAATTTATTGATATTTGCTACGCGAGTTACCAGAGGACTCAGATTGTGAGGCGATGAGGTAAGGGAATTTAAGTAATACCTTATCACTTGGTGTAGAGAAGGATTGCTGATCTTTATTGTCCCAGAACTATTTCAGAATAATATGTGCTCATATTTGCTCCTTTGCAGAATGCTTGGTGTACTAGAATCTATATGCTTACTCTTACCCTCAGATGCTCGGTTCATCACAGTAGTCAGAAAAGTAGGAATGGTGATCCGACCGTATACCACCGGCTTCAAGACCCCACTATATATATCAGCAGTAGGATATCCGAGTCAGTAAGTGTCGTCTAGTCTGGTGAAAGGATTGTTGAACTTGTTCGAAGTATGTTCTGTATTACAGAAAACAAGAATCACCTCCACCATAACACCGACGCCAGAGAACAGTGCTACCTCCCACAATTTCCAAAAGGTATGATGTGCCATTTGGGGATATCGGATCTAGCTGCGGAGGGACTCTTGATATCGGTTATTGGCTGTGGTGGTCTGGTTGAACAGTATCTTAGTAGACGCTTAGCGAGATATTTTCGTGTTTGGCGAGCCCCTTTTTCAAACGGTCTCGTTATAGAGTTAAACGCACTTTACGATCGAAGTTTCGGATTTAACGTGGTACTATATATAAATAAGACATTCTAAAGCTTATATAAGTTTCTCTTTATCGTCTATTCGTTATATATTATATAAGAGGCTTATTATTAGTTTTATTTTATATTTACTAGCTTCCTTTAAAGGCTTATACTTTAGCTATATATAGACTAATTAGAAGACTGTATTTTATAGGATAATTAAAGGATAAGCGCTCTCGGTTATATTAAGTACTATAAAAGAAAGTAGCTATAAAATAACCAAAACTAAGGAAGACTTAAAGGAGGGAAATAAATATATAAATAAAAGGACTAAACTATATAATCTTATAAAAAATAACGACTTAAAGGTAATAATTTTATAGACTTAATATAAAATATCCTCGAAAAGTATTCGATAACTATCTACTAAGCTATTATATATTCTTATCTAAAAGACCTAAATCTAAAGTGTAACGAATACTCAAACTGGCTAACTAAACTTGGCTGGGTGTTCGCTGGTTGGTATGCTATGATAAGAAGAAGACTATCGGGTTGTTCACTTGGAAGTGAACTCGTTACTTGTATCAAAAGATGTCAAACTAATATGATAAGATTGATAACTAAGTTGATAACTAAGTTGAGCACGAAGCTCCTATCTAATGGCAGACGTGCCAGTTCTATATAGAACCTTCGTCCCCGTGGATCTGGGGATCCCCCAGATCCTTTGCCTGGATCTTGGGATCCTCAAGATCCCAAGATCCATCACGTGACTACATACAAATGAAATCCTTGGATCGCTTAGCTAGTCTAGCCGATCCCTATTCGCTATAAGAGCATGATAGTGCTTAACCTGTCAGGACGCCGCCTGGTCTTCACTCGTCACATGCTAACACGTGATTCGTGACATAAAGCTCTTTAAGTTATCCCGCGGTAAGTACTATAGCCTATATATTATTAAAAATCTAAAGACTCTATAGAAACAACGCTATTATTAGAGGGTACCTATATAAAATTACCTTATAAAGGCCTGTCGGTATATAATTCTGGTGAATAGCACCTTGTACGAGAGCCTGGTAGACCTATATACTTTAGGTCATGTGAGTGGCTTGCTACTCACATACTTAAGTCTGTAGAGTACCACCTCTCTTTACCTTTACTCTTCATACACGAATGAATACAAAGAGAGATTATGTTTGTGTATCACACTTTACGACAACCAGGTCGTACCATTAAGGCCCCTTACTTAGTACGAAATAAGGGAGCTATTAGTAGTTAAGGATTAAGGTTAAATAGTACCGCTAAAGCTACTATCGAATTAACGTTATTACTAATACGTTCTACTATAATTTCTACCCCTACATGTTGTATATCTACTTTACTTAATTATAAAAATAAAGTAGTATATTGATTACCTAGGGTAAAAAAGATATTATAATACCAAACTTTTATTTACTAAAAGAATTATATACTTAGACGCTCTACTATTATAAGTTACTTATTATATTTAAGAATATCTAATAGGTAAGTATTTTAATTACGAGCCCCTATATCTATAGTATCTAATCGCGTATTTTTATACGTTATAGAAGTCGAATAATATAGAATTAAAGACACTACGAAAGTTGGTGTTCTACCCCCTATATAGGCTATAAAAAGGTGTTTCTAGCCGTAGCTAAGGGGATAAGCGATCATAAACTCGTAATCTACCTTCTCTTTTCTAAGTAATTGAATACCCTAATATAGGACTATTTATTTTACTTTATTATAACTTAAGGGGAATTAGGTAAGCCGACAAGTACTTTACCTTAAGATCGTATAGTAAAAACATTTAATAAACTATTATTAAAATGTAAGTAATCCTAAGCGAAAGTAATATTACAGAGAAGCCCTAAAACAGTAACTCAGCGAGCTATTCGCGAGGGGCACATGGGTAGGACAAGAGAGCTTATAATAGTATAGCTAACGATATAGTAGTAGTGTTAAAGGAATATTACTAGTAGTAGGGTAGGATATATATCCTACCATAGCTTACTGAGTACTATAAATCCTACTATTAAAGAAATAAGTTCTTAGTTAATTCTATAGTACGTTATCCTATATATATAGCTAGACTAATAATAAGTATATTACAAATATCCCTTAGAGGCTATAACCTTCTATCGTAACTATTACGAAATGTTAGTAGATAGGGTCTAGTATATATCTCGCTTCCTCCTAAGTACTAAAATTCCCTAAGACTATATACCCCCTATAACCCCTATAGCGTAATACTCCCTCCTCTCTAACCTAAAAACTAACTATTTCCTCCTAGCTATAAAGAATATAAAGCGTTTCTACCTCGATCCTCCTTTATATTCTCCCTCCCCCTTAGTATTCTCTACCTATCTTCCCGCCCCTTTATATTCTCCTACTTTTCCTCTCTTTCCTAACGCTTCTCTCTCTTAAATCCTTATAATCTATAAAGCCTAGAGGATAAAAGGATAGGAACACTAACCCTTTACTTCTACTAATATAGTACCCTAGTATTTACTTCCCCCTCCTCCCTACCCTACCCCTCCCCTTTTCTACTCCCCCTTTTACCTCTCTTATTTACTCTTTAAATTCTAATTCTCAAATCCCAACGACTCCCCCACCCCCTAATCCCAATCTCAATTCCCAACTAATCCCATACTCCCATATAACCACAACCACAACCATAACAAACCCCTCCCCCTCCTCCTTCTACCTTGCCCTACCCTCTCTCCCTCAAGCCCAAACACAATCTCAAACCCCAAATCCTCAAAGTTTTACCCATTAACTTCCAGTCTTCCATCTCAACCAACCTTCCCGTTAGCGAGAAAGAACGAATGAAAGAATGAATGTATCAAAATCAGAATCTCAGTTCCTCACTCAAAATTCTCAAAATTCTCTGAGAAGGCCTGAAAGAGAGAGAAGGGAGGAATACCATTAAACTAATCTAGTCCAATCCCTCACCACCTAAACTCCTCCAAACCCTTCTAAACCAAACCCAACCCCCCAAAACCCCTAAAGCTGTACATAAAAGTAAACCTACAATCATTAAACAAAATCAACTCACTTTCCAATCAATCAATCAATCAATATATATTCATCTCCCCTCATCTACAATCTCTCATCTCCTCTACCATCTACTATCTCTCATCTACCCCTTCCCCCC